TCTGCACTCTTAAAATTTGACTATTTTCCCTTGACCTTGACTTCAAAAAAGGATATAAAATCACATTGGCTATAATTAAAAACTTAATTTCTAAATTCCATTTTAAAGTAGTGTTATAGAACTATGTAATAAAGGGAAAAAAATGGTATGTACATGAGTCAGAAAAAAAGATATGGTAATCCAAATTTTCTCTGATCACTTTAAAAAATTACTTCTGATACACGATTATCTGTAAAAAAAGGCTATAAAATGGAAACAAAATATAAGCAGAAGTAGATTTTTGCAAATATTTAAAAGGTCTGTGGACAACTTTAGCGATCTAAGCTTTTTTTTCATAGGCATCATATTTATATAGCTCACTATCACAGTCTGAATTTCCTCTGCCCTCTTTAAATTTGACTATATTTCCTTGCCCTTGACTACAAAAAAGGTTATAAAATCACACTTAGTATAATTGAATATTTTATTTTTCAACTTCATTTTAAAGAAGTGATATATAGCTATGTAACAGAGGAAAAAAATTGGCATGTACATGAATTGGAAAAAAAGATATGGTTACCTGAATTTTCTCTAACTTTTTTTTAAAAACTGATTCCTAAAGCACATTTATCTATGTTGATGTATAAAAAATCAAACAAAAAAATTATTTTATTTGATTTTAAATATATTACTATCTTGAAATAAAACTAAAAAGCATGCATATAAAGAAAATTATGAATCGGTCTTTAATAATTAAGATAATTATCACCCCAATTTCCTATTTTCCTTTAAACATTACTTTTTTATTCTGAATGATTGCAGAAAAAATGAACAATCAATTCCCATTAAATATCTATACAAGGAACTTTTAACCATTGAATGTACAATGTATTAGAATATAGGACAAAAGGATCTAAATCCTATATAAAAGTAGTGTATTTTCAGAATCTAATTCCCCAAAAATTGCAGTCCGAATTTCCTCTGTTTAAACTCACATTAACACTTATAAGCATTATCTGATACAAATGACATATTTTTGCATAATCTAATTGGAAATAGTATCAAAATGTAAAACATATAAAGATAAAATCACCAGTTTAAATTATCCCTGTTAAAAAGTTCGAGCAATAACTGTTAGTTCTGTTTATACACAATGATTTCTTTAACCTTGACAAAAGTTTCTACACAGTTCTAGTAAAGCTAGCTTCTATGACATAGTTTTTATCTTTCCTTTCCTTTTCAACTGTAAGCTTTTTTGGGCCAAGAACTTTTGTTGAAATATTAATAACTGCAGGTGAAGGTCTTTTGAAGTAAACATTTCAGTCTTTGGTGACAGAGGCAAAACAGTGTGATTCTTAGCTTGGAAAATAAAATCCATTTTAGTGTTAACCTTCAAATGATAAGTGGACATGGATATATAGAGGATATCTACATTGTGTGATTTGATATTTGCTTTATCCAATGAGTTGAATGGTGTATATTCGCGAGGCTTGCCAATATATTCCAACTACAACTTAACTGCTAGATCTAACAAATTCCTATGAGAGCAATTGTGGGGGTGTGTGGGTGTGTGGGTGTGGGGGGGGGGGGGTAACATCCTTTATCACTGTAGCCAGTACATTGATAAATTTTGACATTTCATTGAAGTGTAATTAGTTTTTTTCTCATTTTTAATGAACATTTTTGCTCATCAGCATTCATTTGATAACACAGAACTTTCACAATTAGAAGTTTCGATAAGTTTACATCTTGAAGCGTGGCCTAGGGATTGTGTCGAAACTGGAAGACGTGCTATTGATAAAGCACATACCCATGGATACAGCATAGGTTTATCTTATGGGTGTATATATACATATATATATATATATATATATATATATATATATATATATATATATATATATATATATATAGTATACAAGTAAAATTGTAAATACAGTCAAACCTCATTATCTCGAACTAGATGGGACTGAGAAAAAACTTCGAGATATCCGAGCATTCAAGATATAAGGGGTAAAATACTTTAAGGATAAGTAGTTGGGACTTCCAAATCACTTCGACATATCCATGGTATTCAAGATATCAATGTTTGAGATATCAAAGTTCTACTGTATATAATACCTATTTAAAATTTACTACATTACTATGTAACAATTTAATAATTTGACACCTTTCCAGTTATTTATGAAGTATGACTACTAGTCTAATGAGGCTTCAAAAAGTTATATTTTTAAAAATTCTATTATCATGCTAGCAAGTTAAAGGAGGACCTTTTGATTTTGAGGGCAGATTTTGAAAATAATCTGACCTAGAAGATGTTAATAAAATAAAAAAATTCTTCTCCACTGTGAATATTTTTTTTTCTTTTGTCTAATTTATTCCAGTGAAAATAAAATAATAATCTTGCTGTCATAATTTGTCTTTGGTGAGCTTGGAAATAAATATTTTGTCCTTATTGAAGGCCAGAAAATATATTAACCCCCCCCCCCCCCCCCCCCACCAGAATTGAATGCATAGTGAACCCATTTTTTTATTTTAATAAAATTAATTCATTCCTACCTATTCCATTGGTTGCAACACAATAGAAATCTTTTAATGCATCTGGATCCATAGGAACATGCTGCTAAGAGTTGAATAAGGTGAGAGATTTTGACTGCTGACCTACATTGTTCATATTCCTCCTTGATACCTGTACAAATAACAAATCAGTCACAAATATATTCAATTTACAAGTAAATTTTATAGATATTCTTTGAATATGTACAATCAATGTCAATTAGTTATTACTGGTAGTAAGTAAATAATTTCATAGAACAGCTACATCATTTAAAGCAGTATAATTATTCATTTGCTAAAATTTATTTTAGTAGAGATCCAAAGCCATATAGGTCTTGAAGTTAAATTGTTTGCAAATGATTGAATGGCAAAAGGATATTTAATGTTTAATCAGACCTTTGTTTGTCATAATGCCCAGCAATCTTCCATAATCTGTAATCTCACATTGTTTTGGGAATTATCTCTCTCTAAAACATCTTCCTTCCTTTATCTGAAATTGATATAATAATAAAAAGTGCTAATTATTATTTATTAAAATTTTCATACAATTCCAAAATTCTAAAAGAATTATGCAGCATATAAGCATCCATAACCAACAACAAAGACTAATGAATGAATGTGTAAAGTCACCACAGTGTTCAAGCTCACTCAAGAAAAGGAGTCCTGTTCTTTTGAAATAAGAATAAAATTGGTCAATTTGTTGTCTTAAAAAAATTCATGAACACTTTTTGATCAAGTCTTTTTTCCCCACATTACTTCATTTCTTAGGCTAAGTACATAACCCATCATTTTTTATTAAGTCATATCTTGTATTGCACAGACATACATCATACTGAATTGTTTATCATTAAGTTTGTCACTTGGCTAGTGAAGTGTAATTTGATAGTTTGACTCTAGTAAACAAAAAGTAATTACAATGTTTATCTTAGAAATGTCACTTCAGACTATATTATAATTCCATATTCATAAATGAAGGAAAATTTTGACCCCACTAAGAATTAAAAGACTTTAAAGCAACCCCGAGAGGTAAATATTTTATGCAACTTGTATATTTTCAAGTCTGAAAAACACAGGTACAAAATATTTGGCACCAAATATCAAACTCAGAGGTCACTGATGTCATGCTAGATGTTTATTTTCCCCATCTTTTTGAATTTATGAGCGAGATATCTATATATATGTAACTGTATAGGAAAATTTGGCAGATTTTCTGCAATTTTAAATTAAAGCTTAAATTAAAAAGTTTAAACTGACGTGAATGATGTAAATCCCGGTTAGTAAGAAAATGAATGTCGATGGTGCTATAATGATATTAATTACAACCAAAGAATAAGTATATAAGGTGTGAAGTTATCATTCTGTTTCAGTGTTTGGTGCATGTTTATTCTGCTGTTTATTTTTACTAACCTGAAACCATGTAGTGCATCATGATACTGTATTCAGAGGTGACATCGCTTGGGAAGTTGTTGCACGAAACCTAACAGCATCAATCTCTATATTTCTTGCCTAAATATAACCCTTTACTGGAATATATACTGTGTTTTCCGTGCAAATGTATCGTGGCGTCCCTCTCTACCGACATGGTGTCGCAAAACGGCAAGGGTATGTCGTAAATGCTCCGAGGTCGGAAGAACAAGCAAAAAGCAAAGATTTATGAAAAACATGCAATATTAATTTGATTTGACTTTATTTCACAAGGAATTCGGTGTTTAAGATCCTTTAGAATAGTTTAATAGCAAAACCAAACGCTCTACGTATGATCACGACATTGACCTGATCTTCAGCAGTTCGAGTTGCGCGGTAGGTTCAAAATCGTCAGGTTCACATATCCTTAATGTTCACGTCATAAAAATATGACGTTACCTTTTCCCCGCAAGCACTTTATAGCGAGGTAAAAGTTTCTCTAAAGTTTAGCGTAAATAATTATGAGGTAATATTTTAATAACATTATAACTTTTCTTATTTTATGAGATTTTAGCAAGTATAAATTAGAGGTGAATTGGCATTAAATTAAAGATAAAATTTACTTTTCAAAGTGCGTGAAAAATGCGTGATTGCGGGGAAACGGTATATGCGTGATTTGCGTTAGAAATAGGAAATGGTATATGCGTTAAAATGCGTGACTGCGGGGAAGAGGGTTAAACCTTATTTCTTCACTTTATATTCAATAACTTTTGTGGTAATTTATTGCAAAGCACCAACAGTAAGAGGCAAAAAATAGCAAAATAATGTATAAATTGCCATACCTAGTGAAAGTGATTTACAATATAAAGTTTACAAATTTCTTCTTTAATTGTTTGTACATGACGTTTTATTGCTGTTTTCTTGTACATCAAGAAAGACAAGTAGAACAAGAAATACAGTCAAAGCACAAGCAAGAAATACCGTCAGTTGAAAGTAGACAAACAAAGCATGAAAGAAAGCCTGCGAAAGATAAGCAGACAAAGTACGACACACAGTCATTAATACCTATGGTTAAGGCGAAGTTGGAGGAAAGACAGAAATTAATGTCACGATTTGGAAATAAGGATGATGTTGTCTTGGACGTTTTGGATTTTGCTGGTCAAGGGGAGTATTATGCCTCTCACCAGACATATATTCGCAAGGATGCTATATTCATTCTCGTGGTTGACACATCAAAGGACGTCAATCAGAGATTGGTATTACCTGAACAAAAGGAGAACAAGACGAGTCAGTTTCTTTGTGATAGGCCTGGAGTTGTATTTAACTGTTGGAGTCCAAAAGGTTAAATTGATTTATAGTACCCTGCCTTTTTTTTTAGCTCTACTTGTCCGAGTCCAGACGAGATGTTGCATTAGTAAGGTATCTGTCGTCTTTTTGGTTCGTCTGTCTTTCTGTCTGTCTGTAAACAAAATTTCAAACCTCTACTCCTACAGTTTTGGTCCAATTAAAAACACTTGGCACATAATTTGACTATTCCATGATACAAAATCCTTTATTTGATTATTGTTTATTTCAAAAAAGGGTTGTTCCATGGCTTGTAAAAAAAATGAAACTTCTTTTTTAGCGCAAATTTCCTTACAGTTCTTACAACAAATCAATTTACAGTTGATTAGACATGTCTCTCACCTACATGATACTATGATGTATCTTTCTGTGTTATAAGTATACTCCAGAAGAGCTAAAGTCTCCGCAAAGACTTCTGGTTTATCATTAAAAAAAAACGTTTTGTCGTATACGAAGTTCTGCTGAAATGCTGATAATTTTTAAGATTTTTTTTCATTTAAGCTTAGATGTACAATTTCAAAGAAATACCGAAATTTTATAAAGGATAATAATCATTTATCAGGGTCTGGGGTATTAATTACTAATTTTTAATGTGAATTTATTTTTAGATTATCTTTACTATTGGCTGAATACCATTCGAATGCATGGAGGGAATAGTGAACGGATCATTTTTGTTGGAACTCATAAAGACAAAAAAAGGTAAAAAAAAAAAAACAAACAAACAAACAAACACAAAAACAAAATTTGTGGGTTTTGCGAGAAATGGAATGAAAATTTGTACACAGCAACCTTTCCTGTTTGCTTTCCTGTTTGAGAATCCTGTCACAGTATCTTGTGTATATAGTTTCTCGTTCGTTGACCAGGGACTCGGGGTACCTAATTATATTTGCACTTTTTAAAGGAAGTTCGGGTATATTGTTGTTACCCTGGTTCGTAATTCGTCTGTCCGTCACACTTTCTCTTTCCTCAAACTCCTTTTTATGTTAAGCAGTAGCCAATTTATCTTTATAATATGATGGATGGTGACCTGTAGATGTGCAATAAGGTTTTGGAACTATCAATGTTACCCTGGGGGAAAAGGAGGGTAAAAAAATGATGTTTTCTTAATAAGAACTCGGTTCCCTCAAATCCTGTTTCATTTTACCAAAGAGCCAAATAATCTAACCAGCCCTACTGTACACTGTTTATTTTATCTTGCTACACTTTGTGTATAAATGTAATTTCATGTCACCTTTAATCTGATCGTCTGTTCTTCTATAAAAATATTTAAAAAATGAATTTAATTTTTGAAGATTCATGAGGACATGAACTACGATGCTTCACGCCGGCATATTTCATGAACTGCGTTAGCGCTTCATGATAAATATGCCGGCGTGAAGCGTTGTAGTTCATGTACCTCATGAATTTTCAAAAATTAAATTCATTTCTTATATTTACATTATTTTTCCGATGAGTTGCCACAATTAAACTGCCATTATTAAAGCAAAACAGTTCGCACTATAGTTTTGACGTCAAGTACGATATTATGACGTAACAATAGAGATATTCATGCTCATCCATGGTAGTTCATGAGAAAATGAACAGTATTCTAATTTGCAGAGAATCTTAAGGAAAATATTTGGAAATGTAAATATTTAGAAATAACGTGGCTTTGTGTCAAAGTTTTAGTCACTGTAAAAGAGTGAAAACCGAATATTTTGAGTAAACTATTAAACCATAAAAAATCTAACCCCATCTTCTTCATTTAAAGACTGGTTAAAGTGAGGTAAAAATGGCTTAAAGATAACTTAATGAAGTTTGGACATTAACAATCTATCAGCTGCAGCTTCAGGGTGGCCTAATAATGGCTTAAAGAAATTATCTTCTTCAAACCTCCGCTCGCTCTGTGATCGGGAGGTCGTGAGTTCGAATCTCGGCTGCGACTGACCTAAGTCGATAAAAGATGGGTAACAATTGTTCCTTCGCCATGCCCTCGGCACTTTGAAGTGAAAGTTGCGGGTCTCTCGGATGAGACCTTAAAAACCGAGGCCCCGTGTCACGGCAGGCGTTGGCACGATAAAGATCCCTCGCTGCTCAATGGCCCTGAGTGCCGAGTAAAGATCAAATTTTGAAGTCCTTCATCAGTAAATAGTGAGGACTCTATATGAGTGAAAAATTCTCGAATGGGACGTAAAACAACATGCAATCAATCAATCGTCAAACCTCTTTAAGCCGCCTTGAAATCATCTTTAATCGCTTTCTTAAAGACAACAGTTTTTCGTTCTATGTATCATGAAATATCATGAAATGCAAAAATGAACAATTTTCATTTAATGTGTTTTTCCTGTTTTTATAAAATCCCTGTATATTTTTGTCAATTCATCTGAAAATTATATCTTTAATATATTTTAAAGGAAAGATTTTGACTTGAATCGTCTACTTGATGACACATCAAAGGAAAAGCTCATGCCAAAAAGATACTTTAAACCTGTCATTACAGATCTTTTGAAATTTGATGAAGAAACTAAAAAGGAAATAACAGAAATTAAAAATGAGATTTGTGAGCTCATTAATGAAGAAAATGTTAAAGAGTGTCGACCAGCTAAATGGATGAAATATTTAAATATGTTTGATATCATTAAAAGAAATTTCCCAATTGTCAGAATTGAAGAAGTTTTGGAAATGATTGATCATTTTGACTTTGGGATGAATGACACGGAAATAGCGGATATGCTTCAATTTTTCCACAGTTCTGGAAAAATTATTTTCTTCAATATGGATAAATTACAGGACAATCTTATTCTTGATATTCAGTGGTTTATTGACTGTTTTAAACACATTATTTCTGATCGAAATCATGTGGAGGAAGATTGTAGGATTGTTGATGACAAGGAGAAAGAAATGTTAAATTACTTTCGAGACAAAGGTGTATTAGAAGTTAGTATATACGAGAAGCTATTGAATCAAAAATTCATACCAAAGGAGTTTTGGAGTATTTTAGGTGATTATCAGAGTAAGCTTGGTATGATGTTTTACATCAAGAATTACAAAGTGGACGATGATGTCACAATAAAGGAGGGTTGGTATGTTCCTAGCATAAACACCCAGGAATTTAAACCCCAAATAGCGGAGTATGAAAGCAGCGAATCGTCCCAGATCCTTTGTTTTAGATTTAGAGATTATCTGCCCCATGATTTATTTGGGAGAGTAATAGTAGCCTGCCTGAAATCGGGACATTGGTATCCGTACGATTTCCGATTGTGCAAAACTGGAGCAGATATGTGTTATAGACATTCTAACATAGCTGAAGAGGAACAAATTTACCTTTTCACCGACAAAAGAATCATAACCGTTCAATTTATTGGAAAGCATTCAGAAAAGAATGGACAAACAGTCAGGCAAGAAATAGATTCCATTCTTAAATATTTTTGTCAGTTTTACGCAAGTTCCACGGAATATGAAGTAGGTTTTCTTTGTCGTAAAGAAGAAGGTTATAAGGAAAACTTAATCAACCATTTTGTGTCGGCAGAAAAAAAGTACTGTCAGGGATGCTCTAAACGTTTTCTTGATGAGTGGAAGAAGGCAGAACTATTTTGGAAAAAGGTAAGAATTCAAACGATTTTAAGATGAAGAAAGTGTATCTTTTAATTACAGTCACACAATTCTATTATAAAAAGATTATGATATAAAATCTGTAACTAAAATAAATTTAATATCAACAATCATTTTTTTCAACATTATAGGAAAGAGATGTAGAACACCCGAATTCCACAAAGAAGGAAATGAGTACTCTACAGATTGCTTGTGAAATTTACTTACATGTTCTCAAACGATCTACTGATAAAACAGGTATTTTCTCCTAGATGTAATGTGCATAATTTCAAAATAGTACCCTATTCAAAGTATTGTATGCATATAGAAATGTTCCAATTTTCACCTGCATATTTACCAATTTCATCTATTTATAATAAGACTTAAAACGCGATCAGTATTCTGTCGGTTTGCTACTTGATAAAATTCTTTTTTTATCAAAAGAGATATCTTTGCTCAACATATCGTATAGATCTAGTTGTTTCATTGGGCGAATTTCTTACAACATTACATATGAACAGCTATCACGGCTTAATTTGCCCAAATCAAGTTTTAACTTCCTAGAAGGTAGAAGTATTGTTACCAATCGAGATACAGACTTCCAAGATAAATGTTCTTAAAGCCGTAAAGTTAAAAAATATCACTTTGCAATTGAGCTTGCAAATACAAGGCATTAAGGTGTTTTTGCATAATAATTTTTGTTTAGAATCGTTCAACATTAGCATTGGAAAGATGTGTATTAAAAGACACTGTTAATTAAAGAAAGCTGTCAAATGACCATTCTCTTAACCTTTTACGTCTATACAGGCCATACGATCATTATTCTTAGCTATTTGTTGTGCAATGACAGATAATACCAGAACATTAGAAAGCGTGGATTGGGAAAGAAACACCCAATGGCTTGACAGCCTAGTAGATATTGAAGAAAAACTGAAGGATCTACAAAGAAATACGAAAGAGGCAGCAGAAGAGAGAGAAACTGAAATCAGAAACATCAACAGAGATCTTAAAAATGTAAAGAATAAGATGCTTTTCTGATAATTCTTACTTTCTTCAAATTCCCTGCATTGTAATACTTATTGTTTATATCATATATCACAAACATCTATATCATTCAGGTTGTTTTTGGCCTTAAAGATGTCTGTAGAGATTTAAGGAAAGAAATATTCTTTCTCTTGACACAAAAGAAAGATATTCCAAAGAAGTACCAAGGTAATTTCAGCTTGATAAAATACATAATTATAAATACCAAAAATTCTTGAAAAATATTTACAGAAAAAAGGATTACTTTTTCCATTGCTGTTCCATGTCTAACAATATTTTTAGCTCACCTTAGCCGAATGGTCACGAGAGGTATCTTTGAGCTTTTCAAATCGATATTTTTCTGTCTTTAGCGTCGTCGGTCAATTTCAACCACATATACGCATGTTTCCTTAGGATAAAGGGTTCAAGTTTGTTCAAATAAGAGATCACATTCTCTTCAAATTAAGAAATAGTAAAAATTGAGTGGGCTAATTTAAAGCTTTTCTTCACACACACACACACACACACACACACACACACACACACACCCTCACACACACACACACACACACACACACACACACACATATATATATATATATATATATATATATATATATATATCCAAAAAACGAAAGAAATATCACAATGTCCGGTAATCAAAATGAAAATAAAATAAAAAGGCAACACTTAATTTCATATATATATATATATATATATATATATATATATATATATATATATATATATATATATATATATATATATATAGACATATTTTTTCGGTACTTTTGTCAAAATAATACAATAACAAAGAAATAAATGTGAGTCGGTAAAATACTCTACATGTATAAAATACAATTCTTTTACATTAAACTATTTAATTTTAGTTTGAAAGTCCTTATAAAATGTTTCTCTTTATCTCGTCTTTCGATTGCATTAGCATTGTACAATTTATAAAATGAAAAGAAAGTGAAAGTTTTATTTCCGCATAAGTCTAGGTGTTCACTGACTTTATGTTTACGGTATTTCGGTACGTTAAATTGTTGTTTATGGACTCGGATCCTTTTCCGCAAGGTATTTCCCGTGTTCCCGTCTCTCCGATATATAATTCACCGCAAACAGAACATGTTATAACGTATATGACGTTTCTAGTTTTGCATGACATGTTATTTTTAACTGTAAACTGTTTTCCAATAAAATTAATATGTTGTCCTTGTTGAATGTATGGTACCACAACGCAGATCCTGGCATTTGGTCACATGAAATTCTGTCGTTAAAAAAAGAGGACTTATTGAGAATTCGTCTAAGATTCTCCGGCTGCGTCCTACTGTTTATGAATTTTCGATTTTTAAATACTTTAGACATAGTTTCAGCGGTTTTCAAAACGTCGTTTATGTGATAAACAATTGGAGCAACGTTTTTATTTTGGGGATTATGTGTCGTTATTAATGGTAGGATCTTGGAATTTGTCCTGTCAACACACGGTTGAGGAGGTCCTTTTTGTCTAATTCCGTGGCTTTTTTAATAGCATCATCAATAATTTTGTCTGGATAGCTTTGTTTCCGTAGACATTCTTTAAGTTCTTGAAGACTTTGTATTCTGATCGATTCATTATTAACGATGGGGAATATTCTTCTCGCTAAATTATAAGGTATAACTCTTTTCGTATGTCGTGGATGGCACGAAATAAAATGAAGATACTGATGCGTATCTGTAGATTTATAATAAATATCTGTCAAAATGACGTCGCTTTCCCCAATTAACAAAATATCCAGAAATGGAATTATATCTGTACTTTCTACCGCTGTAAATCTTATATCAGGATTAAGTTCGTTCAGTAATGTTTTAAAGGTAGACAATTCGTTCTCGATGAATTTCCATACAATTAAACAATAGTCCAGATATCTTTTCCAGTAATTAGTAATATAATTTTTTACCTCTTCGTTAAATTGTTCTCCCACTTTCTGATATATTTTCTCGTCTTAGTATTCTAATGTTAAGGTGGCATATGTCGGAGTCATTTTCGTGCCCATAGCCGTTCCTTTTATTTGTTTAAAATGTTTTCCATTAAACGTGAAAGTATTATTTGTCAGCACTATTTCTGTTGCTTCCAAAATAAAATCTCTTAAAAATCTGCCGTTAATTTTTTCAAGATTCTTACTGCTCCAGTATTCCACGGCTTCAAGTCCTAGGGAACTTGATATATTACTGTACATGTTTGTGACATCCAATGTAACAAGCTTGCTGCTTATATCAACTTTCTCTGGTAAATGACGGAGAAAATCAAAGTCATCTTGTGCATAACTTTTAACTCCAGAACATAATGGTTTTAGAAGAATGTCTAGTAGATTACTAAGTCTTTGCGTTGGTTCTGATGGTCCTCCTACTATTGGTCGGAAAGTGAGATCGTCTGTATAAGGACAACTTATGTATTCCAAGCATCGGGATTTGATGGCATCTTTTATTTTTATAGATTTATGAATCTTGGCAGTCCATAAAAATTGCTTTCACTATATTCATCATCAATTTAGAAGTCTTCTTCTTTTTCTGTTAAACTCGATGATGTTTTATGACGTTTCAAAAGATTCTTAATTTTCTGCATTGTTTTTCTATCGCTGTTGTTTGGTATTTCTTTGTAGTACTCGGTGTTCGATAGCATATTCTTATATGACTTTTATAAAATTTAGAATCCATGATTACAACTGCGCCAGCTTTGTCCGCTTCTTTTATTACAATGGATTCTTCATTCGACAATGATTCAAGTGCATTCTTCTCTTCTATTGTAAGATTGCATTATATTTTTCGGTTTTCGTTATTATTAAGAGGCAAAGTATTTAATGTCTCACAAACAAGATCTAAAATTTCGTTTTGTCCTTTTTTAGGATTAAAGTTAGAATTGTTGCGTACAAGATCCTCTTCTGAATCAGAGTCACTCTCTTTTTCTTTATAAAAATGTTCTGCTAACCTCATTTATCTCGTATACTTTTTAATATCTGCCCTTAGTTCTTGATTGTTACTGTGAAGTGTAGGGGTAAATTTTAAACCTTTGCATAACGGATGCACCTCCGAGTCACTTAAAGGTCTGTTGGAAAGGTTGATTACTTTAGGGTCAATTTTTGTTGTTGTGAGTATAGATTTCAAATCTTGTTCTACACATACACGTGCGTGTTCGCTGTGTGGCGTCCTTTGTCCCCGTACTTGATGCACCAGCCCGGAACTAAGTTGTTTGCCCCTTGCTTTGTTTTGCCCCTCCCCCCCCCTAAAAATAGTTTCTGGCATTCTTCCTATGTATGTCACACGGTTAGTTTTGTACATGCTGTGTGAATGACCTCTAGACTGAAGGTTAAATTTTCTATCACTTGATGATGATTTTCCATATGATCTAGGATTCTGAATGGGTTTGAATGGAATACGTTGGTTCTGGATCTTTCGTTTACTACATATTTGATTTTTCCGTATGTAGTTGTATTTCCTCAGATTTGTCGCCGGTTTAGCTTTCCATAGAAAAATATATACAAGCTAGAGTACTTATTTTTGAAACAGCAAGATAAACTTTAACAGAGTAACAGAATACTTAAAACTGTGTGAAAATAAAATGTAGTTCATTGCAGACGTGTCATTATATGTGTTAATCAAATTAAAAAAAATGATGTCCAAAATGCACACCATACTCCAAGCAAATGGAATTTAAAGATTTACAAAGTTTACGAATATGCAACAGTTACCATCAATAGTAATTATCATAGAAGTAAATGAGATAATATTCGAATTATTTAACATAAAATAAAATATATTGCTTTCACTGTAGATAGTATGGGTTCTAAATGGACAAGAAATTCAACGTTAAGTTATTGTGGCAATCTCAGACACAAATAACTCGTACAATAAATGATTAGTTCGTACCTCAAACTATTAAAAAAATAGCCAACTATCAAGATAATAAAAAAGCCATAATACCAAGGTTGGTAAAAAGCACCACGGGGAAGAGTGGGTTCTAAAATGTAAAAAAGATAGACCAAACCCTCTTTCAAGGAAAGAAACATATAGGAGAAATCTTTCAAGAACCGCTGGACCAGTAAAACTGAAATTTACATGAACGCTTAGGTAGTGTAGATTGTAAATTAATCATATCATGATCCCCGGTGGAGGGATGGATTACAATAGAAAAATTAAAGTTTTACATAAGAACAATATTAAACTATCTTCTCCTCAAAGACCGCTGGACCAAAAAAGTTGAACTTATGTGGAAGCTTCCTGGGGTAGTAGAGAGGTTGAGACTTCATACGTGTACGGGTACGTGTAATAGGGGAATTTCCTAAATCCTCGCGTATTACGTCATCAGTTTTAGTGATGGCAAGTTTTCTATATGTTTCTACAACTTGTAGAGTGACATCTGCACGTAAGTGTAAACTTGTAGCTTTTTTAATAAAATTTAGTCAATTTCTGTTTGAAAATAAGATCGATGTACATTATTTAGATGTTTAGTTTCACGTATTTTAAAGCTATATATGGCATATCTGAGCTTAAAACTAAAAATACGAAATTGAGTGTAGATTAACATGATATATGTTATTTACGTACAAATTTAAATTTTTCACCCATTTTGAACTTGAATAGTCTCATGTTTTTATAGTTAAATTGAATTTAAACTGTATGTTATTTAAATGCGGAGTCGGTAAATAAATTGGTTGTTGTTTTAAATTTCTAATATCTTAGAAACGTGATTGATTTAAATTGTGTAATTTACAGGAAAGTCCTATCTTTACATAAAGTAATAAAACAAATAGAAAGATCTTTTTAATTTAAGTTAGTCTGAACTTATAAAAAAAATACGCCATATATGACTTAACGATGTTTTATTTCCTAACTAAAGTCAGACTGAAGTCAGAAATCGGCTAAATAGATGAAACAATGACGCCGATCGCAATTTATACGCTCATGTTATAGGTCATTGAAATCTCAACAACCAAATTAGAAAAACGTGTACGTGTACGTCAAAGTATATCTACACGTGCACGTACGCGTACAAGTTTAAGATCTCAACTTCTCTAGTGTTTATTGTACATTGATTACTGGGGGATTAACGGTTTATAGGGAAGGATTTTCAAAACTACTCTTTTCAGGAACAACAAAACCACGATTAATCGTGTTTATATGGAAGCATCGTCTTTTACTGTAGATTAACGG